GGATTTGAAGAGACAAAGTCTGTAATGGTCAAGGAAGCATTATCTCAGGAAACATTTTTTAAAAAAAGTAACATTTCTAGGGATGAAGTGGAACTTACCCCTTATTAAACGGACAGAAAGATAATGGGGTTGATTTGACACCATTAATATGATGTAGCGAGATTCCTAGCTGTGAAGATCTGAACTGGTGGAAGCTATTTCAACAGTAAAAAGATGGGAGCTACTAGTCATCTAGTAGTAGGCTTAAATTCACGCGGTGGAGGTGCCAAAGATGAGAGCTGATTAGAACAGCTGCTGTGAAAATTTTTATAGAAATGACAAAGGGAAATCGCGTCATAGCGGTGAGAAAGTGACTGAAGTCGAGATGCCAGGTCAGGATCAATAACATTACCGATCCTTCTTTGGATTTTGTCAATAATCTTGAGATATATAACCGGAGCACCAAGCCAGTTAGGGCAGCAGTATTCAATGCACGAATATGTGCAAAATGTATTCCGGTGAGGAAAATTGCCTAGCACAACACAGTGAATCAACTTTCTTAGTAGAAGACCTAGCAATTTATTCAATAATTAATGTCAGTAGAAAACTGGAGACCAAGAAGATGTAATGGGTTACTTTCCTAGGGGTTAGCATCAGCCATGCTGATGGAGAACCAAAATAAATCTCTATGAAGATTAAACGATAGCAGTTTCGTTTTAGAGGCGTTAACATTTACAAGCCAATTGACAAGCCAGTTTACTGCCAGTTTTATTTTGTCGGAACTATCGGATTTACTTAAGACTGGAGTAAATAGTTGTGCCATCAGCATAAATACCTAGTTGGAAAATGATAATATCAGGAAGGTCGTTGATGAAGATAAGAATCAACGTAAGTTCAGAGATAAAGCTCTGAGGAACCCCGCATCAAAACGGAATGACCTATGAGCGTGGCCATTTAAAACGATCTTCATTACCCGATTTAAGAACTATTGGTTTAAGTCAAATATCAAGCCAGAGACGTAATAGATCCTGAGCTTCGGGAAAAGGCCAGCCGCTCAAACCCTGTCAAACGTCTTCGATATATCTAAAGCCACAGCCCGATAGACAAATTCAGTGATAAAATGAAAGCCATATTGTTTATCTGAAAGAAGGCTGTGCGAAGTAAGATGCTTAGCCAATTCAGAGTTGATTAGAGATCCTAGAATTTTGCGAAATGAGATAAAAGATTATAGGTGATAATTTCAGGGATCAGAAGAGGATTTCCAAAAAGCTGGAAAACAAGAAGCAGTATTGAAGAGTTTAGAGAGACAGTTCAGGGGGCACATTTCCTTAGGACAATTGTAGGGATTACCATCAAGTCCGTTTTAGTGATATTCTCTAAGTTCAGGCTAGTATGATACAAGGACACCAATATGAGGTACCAAAAGAACTCATGGCCTACTACGTCACTCACTGTCATTCTTTTACGATAAGGAAGAAGCGAATTCAGTCCATGGCATTCGTTTACTCGCTTGCAAATTAATCATTGCTACATGATGATCTATTTGGGAATATTTACGAAACTAAGCTTAACTTAGCTTTGTCTGACCTAAGGATACGAAAATGAGACATTCTATTAAAATTGAACCTACTGCAGTAGTAAAGCTCTACAGGACTATCTTGCTACACATAGTTCTGTGGTAGGTTTCCCATAATGTGTTATTCCGTTCGATTTGACCCATTTATTGATCCGTCAAAACTGTTGATGAGGAAAAGTTTCCTAACTAAAATCACGATTAATGCATCATTTTTTTCTCTCTCTTCATCAATTTCTGATTACCTATAAATCAATATGTCTGTCTAACTCGTCGAACTTCAGTGTTAGATCTTTACAATTTACAGACAGAATGTTGTCGAACTTATGTATTTCATAAACGTAGAGAAAAATATTTTAAATAGTCACATAGATTTTATTTTGAAACATAAAGCTAGCATTATAGCCGTTGTGAGAAATGGCTTCATGCATTTTGTATGAGTACAAAATGAACATAGACAACCTCAAATAGAAGCTAAATTCGGTTTGCAAATGTTCTTGTTAACTACTTTAACAAAGCTGTTAACAACAAAATTTTCAAAACAAACTTAACTACATCTGTCTGTCTACACACACACACACACACACACACACACACACACACACACATATATATATATATATATATATATATATATATATATATATATATTTATATAATCTACCTACCACACAGACACCACGTTGGTTCTTTAACATGACTGAAATGATTGAAAGTACTTGAACAAACAATACAAACAAGAACTTCGGCCATTTTACCCACATTTTTTCATTCCAATGCACAACACCTTATTCAAAAATACAAAAAACACAATAAAAATTTAAACAAACACACCTTATCTGTTGTATTTAATCAAATCAAACTTACTTGTTGGAATGAATACTTGCCTTAATACATGATACGTGTGTATATATATATATATATATATATATATATATATATATATAT